TGCTTTACCATGGATAAAAAGACCCAACGGCAGATTAAAGACACCACTCATATGGAGAATGAAGTCACAAGCATTGCTCAGAGTGTCTAAATCTTGATGGTTCTGTGGGTCTCGTCTATCAAATCTGAGCTTTACTTTGTGTTTTATAGTGGATTCGGGTCAGGTGATTGGCTGGGCCATTCCACAGCTTGATTTTCTTTCTCTGAAAGCATCTGAGAGTCTCCTTTGCAGTGTTTTGGATCAGTGTACTGCTGAAATGTCCACCCTGGGTTCATCTTCATCCTCCTGCTAATGTAGATGTTGGACTGAAGCAGCTGATGTTCATTTACACAGAGGAAGGGCAGAGGGTTGCTGAAGAACTACTGAGAGATTTCAGCTGCTGTCTGGGCTTTCACTGCTGAAATACACCTCCCTTTCTTCATTCAATACTTTTTTTTTTTGCTGTATCATTTAATTTTATTGCACATTACTTCATTTGTTAGCTAATTAGATTTGTTTTTTATATATGTATTTCCTTGGTTGTTATCAACATCTGGGGACAATTTTAAGTCAACAGCACCTTTCGAAATATGTTTTATGAGAAAAATGGTGCTGTGTTTAATTCTTATTTACCCCACTGTATCTTTTTTTTTATAGTTTCTTACATTTTATGCAGATTCACTCTCCTAAAAAACTCATCCCAGTCAATGTAAAATCATATTTTTTTCCAAATAGTCATGTTGTGAAATATTGCATAAAAACTAAATACAGGGTCCCCGCGGGGTTTTAAAAAGTGTTAAGTCTTAAATTAAAAATTCGAAATTTATGGCTTTAAAAAGTCTTACATTTGCTGTTCTAGGTCTTAAATATTTTTGCACAGGTCTTATTTTTGCGATGTCCATGTAACGCTACATCTAATGCTCATTTAAATACTTTTTGTTGTTGTTGTTGTTAGGTTTTTGGGGTGTTGTAGTTCTTTATTTCCAATTGTAATTTGTGGTATTACAATTACAAAAAGGTCAACTTGCAATAGCCAATCAGCTTTCTGATATTAAACTCAGTGCGCGCGGCGAATGTGACATCATCGCTGTGTTTGCGGAAGTTGCTTTGAGTGCTCGCGACATGATTTCGGCTGGCAGAGTGTGGCGTTATTTCACTGACAAATTTCGCAAGCGCAGTTTTATAAGTCATGAGCGCGAGAGAGCGAATCTCTGCTCACGGTTTCCTTTGTTCATGGACAAAACTGCTCGCGAGCTCTCAAAACACTGGCTGCTCACGTGCGAATGATCTGCTCTCGCTCCGTCGGACTCCTTTCGTGCTTTTGCTCTTCAGAGATGCTTCAGCATACTGTAGTATTAAGAATAGTGAACTGATAAAATGAAATACAGTGTAGTTTTACTACAGTAAAGTGTGTTGAATTGAAGAAAAATATACCCTATATTGTAAAAAACTAAAGCACTGGGTAGTTTGTTTTTAATACACTGATTGTGTTACCATAGCAGCTATAGTACAACAGAGTACAGAGTACTTTACAAAACACTGTACAGCAGACACTAGTTCACTTTACTTTAGTGATAAAATGGGATTGATAGTGGGATTTATTCGAAGAGTGAATAGTACAGTAGTAGGGCCGCTCGATTTTGGGAAAAATCATAATCACGATTATTTTGGTCATAATTGTTGTCACGATTATTCCACACGATTATTAGTTTTATTAATAATATATTTAGATTCCTAGTCAAAATTATTATATTAAAGTAATTATTTCCCAAATGATGTTTAACAGAGCAAGGAATTTTAACAGTATTTCCTCTAATATTGTTCTTCTGGAGAAAGGCTTATTTGTTTTGTTTTGGCTAGAATAAAAGCAAATTTAAATATTTTGAAACCTTTTTTAAGGTCAATATTATTAGCGCCTTTAGGCAATATATATTTTTTATTGTCTGCAGAAGAAACCACTGTTATATAATGACTTGCCTAATTACCCTAATTAAGCTTTCGAATCACACTTTGAATTTGAATGTTTGTATTTAAAAAAATATCTACTAAAATATTATGAGCTGTCATCTTAGCAAAGATAAAATTAATCGGTTATTAGAAATGAATGATTAAAACTATTATGTTCAGAAATCTTCTTTCCACTAAATAGAAATTGGGGGAAAACGGTTGCTTTAAGGAGGGCTAATAATTCTGACTTCAACTGCATATATTATTTTCCACCCTGCAAAGGAAAGAGAAATAAATACAATAGAATAAAAATATGAAACAAACTGTGCTTTAAGCATCTTTACCATAAGAAAAACACTTTATCTACAAAAGTCTTCAGTCAAGAGCAGAGAGGGATTTTCTCGTTGTTTTATTAATCATGATAAAACAGGCGGCAGCTGTGCTCTGTCTCTTTAATGGTTTCGCTTTCACGTGTCTTTTAATCCTCCTCAACTCGTTTGTTTATTACAAAATGAGGGTTAATATGAATAATCACTAAACACCGCGTTTTGACACCTATTTGAACATTAAAGCGCTCGCGATAATGACTTTAGATGTGTGCGCTCTGCTCGTCACAATGTGCGAATGAGACCAAGTGCAGACCGCATGCTTCTGACTGTCTGCGCGCCGCACACACACGCACATAAGCATGCTGTCTTTCGCGCTTTTAAGAGCAACAAGTGAGGACAACTGGACAGGGGGCGGTAAATAATGGAATAATCGTTTATCTCGATTAATGGTTTTTCATAATCGGCAAAATCGAAATCGGATTTTCGATTAATTGCACAGCCCTATACAGTAGGCTATAATACCTAATCAAGTTTTTACCTATTTTCTATCACAGCTACATTTCAGCTTGCCAGAATGACCAATAATTATTGGCTAGAAATTGCAACAGCCATGGGAAAGGAGGAAAGGTTTTGTAAAACTTTGGAAAAACCTGAGGGATACGTTTGTTAAAACAACAAAAAAGAGGCCTCCAAAAACGTCTTCAATGATAATGATTATCTTTTTATTCGTCTGATTTTACTTGGTTTTTTTGAAGCGCCCCCTGTCATTTAAAAAAAATTTCTCAATGGTGAACTTGTCAAGTATAATCCTTAATCTGTTTCGTGAGTTGTGCGATGCGGTGCCAGGTGAAAGTATAAATCCGCATTCAGATGTTTGTTTTTCTGTAGTTCAATGGTGCATTTAACCTGACTTTAGTACTGTTCAATTTAAATAACTTTATTTTACCGCTAATTTTGTGCATTTTCTCTCGCGTGGTTTTGATATTGCGATATAGGTCTTAAATTTAATACTTAATGGTCTTAAAAAGGTCGTAAAAGGTCTTGACATTATGATATCTGCAGAGACCCGGCAATACTGTGCTGCTTTATTTGGTGCCAGTTTTTTTAGGAAGAGACGATTTCATTCACTTTGACTCATTGGATAGAAATGCTGCTTTTATTCGCAGTTTGTTTTATTTAATATTCCAGTTTAGCACGTAAATGTAATTCTCATCTTTAAATGGAAACACAGCCACTGTCAGCGAGTTTGTAAAGAGCACGCGTTTGCTTTGTTCACCATGCAGGAAAGCGATTAATCCTGCATGCAGCGCTGATGGACTGACCACAAGCATCGCTCGCAGCGATCCTTTGGCTTGTGATGAATTAAATCTTCCAGATCAATGATGGTTTCAAACGCTGTGCGCAGCCACTACAGCTCCACAAATCTTTCCCAATAAAACATTAAACACGATCTTGTCTATCCCACACTTGGGGCTGATCTGTGCTGGTTTTCAGGAAGGGATAATCTCGTTTTAGGAAAATCCAGGATGATTTCCTTGAAAGTGTGTTTGAGAAAGGCCTTTAGCTGGTTGAATGGAAATGAAGTCAAGCATGACGTGATTAATGCTCACTCACATGAGAAGTCAGAGCAACACAAGCCAACAGGAGAAAAGAGAGCAAAACAAAACAACCTTCGCTTTTACATGTCAGTGATGCTGTTTTGTCAGTATAAATTGATCTGTAGTGTGGATTCATAAAATAATGAGGAGTTTGAAGTACATGCTCAAATTAACATCTTATATTGAATGTTTTGTTTGATTAATAGCTGTTATTGGTCATTTATGTGCAAATCTTTGCTGAGATGAAATAGTAGGAGCTGTGTTTTATTATGGACATGTGGAAACATGATTTACGCCAGTAAGTTGGCCACAAATCAGACGTTTCCTATAAGGACTGAGTGGTTGAGCCGAAAGCATTCCTTTTTTTTTAACCATTTATTGTTTAGAAGTTACGTTAAGAATTGAATTCAGATCAGCTATTATTTCTTGTCTGAGCATGTTCATCTTGATTTCCAGTGACTCAAGTAATGCATTTCAGGTAAATACTTTTATTGCATGGGTAACGGTTGTTTTGTCTGCTTTTGCAAAGGGAATAGTTTTGGAAAAATCTCTGAGTGCTGTTTTTTTCCATGCATAATTCCATATTACACTGAATATTTAAAGCTTTAAGATGCAAATTTTCATTGAATAAGTAGCCCACATGATGCATATGCTATATGCCGAGTAGGCTTGGGCGGTATGCAAATTTTGATACCGTCAAACCTCCTCCCTGTTTGACCCCGGTATCCGGTATTACCATGCATAATAAAAAAAAATGATGACTTAAGGCTCAGACAGCATCACCAAACTGTTGGCTTGTGCCTAAACCATTCAGAAACTGAATACCGTATATGCGACCTTAGGTTCGCTGTCACCTGTTTGTCTTGTTCGTATCAGAGATCTGCGCAGGACGCTCTCTCTCATTCACACATGCACGCACACACACGCACATACCCACACACACAGAGAGACAGAGAGAGAGACAGCACCAAGCGACGCACAGCACCACATTCTCTCTTACACACACACACACACATAAACAGCATGCACGCATGCTCGCTCACTCGGTAGTGATATTGTGAGGTCGCACGCCTGCTCCCTTTCAAATTACACCAGGGTTACCGACCGTTCCCGTGCTTTATTCTGAAATTTATTCTTGCACCGCAAGAAATCTGGTCTGGTCCTGTGGCTCCCTCGGTACATCAGCACAAATGCAGACCTCTCGTATTTACCATGTCTCTTTTCTCGTTCGGTCGAAACCGGAAATACTGCCAAACTGCAGTTCACTTGGTGCGCAACTCGCCATCTTACCTCCCCTCTCTCTCTCTCCTCCACACTGTCCTGTGATGACAATCACGCATACGCATTTGTAGGCATTAAATAAAGGATATTTAATATATAATACTTGTCTACTATTTAAGTGCATTGTTTTTATGATGGTATAACGGCATTAAAACTGACACCGTTGCTATTTTTAGATCCCGGGGTATACCATATTACCGTACAAGCCTAATGCCAAGTCTTCAATCCAAGGACCTTTGGCTGAACGTCTGATGTGTTTGGCACACTTTTTTGGAAGCATAGTTGAGTGTGCAGCAATCTCAACAAGTCTGCCTGGAAACAAGCGGGTAAAAAAGCTGCGATGCTTATATTGATGTTCGTGCTCATGAATAAATGTTTAACTTTCTAAGACATTTGATGAATCCGTGATTTACTACCTGCACACTCATCTGTTATTATGAGGAGAGCTTTGTGATGATAAGCAACCGAGTTGATGGCATGATAATCGTAACCGAACTGTGAGACCAGTGTAGATTCACACCACTAATATTGAGTTGAACAACTAACTGTGCTGTCGAACACGAAAATAAAGCATAGTCTGTAGGGGTGTCACGATTTCAATTTTTAATCGAAATCAATCGAAATTTATGCTCAATTTCGATTATCGAATCAAAAAATAGAATCGTCGATACTGCCACGCCCCCATGTTACGTCACCTTAGCTTGCCAAGCGGGAAAAAAACAGGCTTGTTGAAGTGCTTGTTAAACTGCAGAAGCAGGAGACCCGTCGACAGAGCTTAAACCCTCTCCTCTTTCAATGAAGTCGCCGGTGTGGAAGCATATTGGATTTCCAGTGAGTTATGTTGACAACGTTCGTGTTGTCGACAAAAAAAAAAACACAGTTTGCAAGCTCTGCTATGTACGTATTACATACGGTTCGTCCGATAGACAACACCGGCATCGCCCGCCCCCGTTGCAAATTCGCTCGCGAAAAGTACACACTCAGGCCCTGTTTACACTGTCTTTGTTTTTAAATGGCATTTTAGAACGACAACGATTTGACATCCACAGTGGCGTGTAGCATTTCTGAGCGGCCCTCCTTCCTCACTACCTCTGAAAATGCACATCACGTGACCACACAGACACAGACGCACACACAGCCATGCGCTCGAGACAGCAGGTCCAGGCAGTCAGAGGACTGCTTCAATCTTTCACTCACTTGTACTCAGTCATTTTAGCGAACACCTCAGATACTGTTGGCTGGTTCCTGTTGGTTGTGCGTCTTTTTTACCGACGCCATTATAACGACACAGATCACTGCCTATTCACGAGTCCCGCAGAAAAAGTGATTGACAGGTGGTAATTATGTGTGTATCTTGCCTTTATTCATTTACTGTATGATTTGTTTATGGGTAAAACAAAGACCATGCAGGTCAGGTAGTTTAAACGGTAGGCTACAAATAATTAATTTGTCATTAATTAATGAATTATTCATAATCGAAAATCAAATCGAATTGTGCCTTTAGAATCGAAAATGTAATCGGATCCAGGATTTGGAGGATCGTGACACCCTTAGTAGTCTGTTCTGAATTTCAGTCATCAAAAAATGTGCAAACTGTATGCACATACTGTAAGATCATAACTAAAAATTAAAGTGTGAATGAAAATGAAAGGTAAGACGGATGAGGCCTGAGTTGAGCAGCTCAAAACATTTTACACTGTTTACACCAATGTTGTCCGCTTACAGTATGATCAGATTGACGCAAATGCATCGTCATACTACAGTTGTAAATGGGGTCATAGTAATTAGGTGGTACAGTTTGCAAGATCATGCATGGCCAAACTAATTTCCCCAAGTTTAAAAATAAAGTCTCTCAAGTCAACTGAAATAGCCATAGCCGTACCATTCTGGTTAATGAATCACTGTTTTGTGTTTAGTAAATGAGTTGTTGGACTTCACAGAGTGAGTTCTTGACCTGCTGACTCGCTGCGGTTAATGCTGCCTTTGAGGGAGTGATTATCTGTGAACAGCACAAGATTATCATTTTATCATTGAGCAATTCCAGCGTCATGGATGTGACATTCGGAGTAAAAACTCAAAACAAAACTTTTAAAGAGTGATAGAAGTGAGACTTTACTTACTTTCTTTTCTCTATTCTTTTTTGAGTTGTATATATTATTTTTTTTATTTACTGATGACTGCTTTGC